GTTAGCACAAGAAGCAGAGAAACTAACCCTTGGGCAAAACCTGAATATAAAGGCCCCCCATGCTGTGGTAACTTTGATGAATACAAAAGGACATCATTGGCTAACAAATGCTACATTAACCAAGTACCAAAGCTTGCTATGTGAAAATCTCCGCATAACTATTGAAGTCTGTAACACCTAAATCCTGCCAGCCTGCTTCTAATATCAAAGACCCAGTTGAGCATAACTGTGTAGAGGTGTTGGACTCAGTCTATTCTAGCAGACCTGACCTTCGGGACCATCCATGGGCATCAGTAGACTGGGAATTACACGTGGACAGGAGCAGCTTCATTAACCCACAAGGAGAAAGATGTGCAGGATATGCAGTGGTAACTTTGGATGCTGTAGTTGACGCCAAAAGGGCACTTCAGCCCAGAAGGCTGAGCTCATTGTTTTAACTGGGCTCTAGAATTCAGTGAAGGTAAGACTGTAAACATCTACACTGACTCTCGATATGTCTTTCTAACCCTCCAAGTGCATGGAACATTATATAAGGAAAAGGGTCTGTTAAACTCTGGGGGAAAGAACATAAAATATCAACAAGAAATTCTATAATTAATAGAGACAGTGTGGAAACCTCAGAAGGTGGCAGTCATGCACTGCAGGGGACACCAGCAAGCCTCCACTTCAGTGGCCTTAGGAAACTCTTGAGCTGATTCAGAAGCTTGAAAAGCAGCATCTACCCCTTACCGGGTATCAGTAGTAGCCCCCTTACTCCCTCAAACACCTGACCTGGTACCTACCTATTCTAAGGAAGAAAAAGACTTCTTCCACACAGAAGAGGGGCAAGTAATAAAAGGAGGATGGATCAGACTGCCAGATGGGAGAGTAGCTGTGCCGCAGTTGCTGGGAGCCACAATCGTATTGGCTGTGACCAAAAGCACTCATCTAGGTCAAGAGTCACTTGAAAAATTGTTAGGCCAGTACTTCTACATCTCACACTTGCCAGTCCTTGCCAAAGAAGTAGCACAATGGTGCACTACTTGCCGACAGCACAATGCAAGACAAGGCCCCACTGTTCCACCCAGCATACAAGCTTATGGAGCAGCTCCTTTTGAGGATCTTCAGGTGGATTTCACAGAAATGCCAAAATGTGGAGGTAACAAGTATTTGCTGGTTCTTGTGTGTACTTACTCTGGGTGGGTGGAGGCTTATCCAACACGAACTGAAAAGTCCTACGAGGTTCTGTGTGCTTCTCCGAGATCTTATTCCTAGGTTTGGACTGCCCTTATGAATCGGCTCAAATAACAGGCCAGCGTTTGTGGCTGACTTGGTAAAGAAGACAGCAAAGGCATTAGGAATCACTTGGAAGCTACATGCTGCCTACTGACCTCAGAGTTCCAGAAAGGTGGAGCGAATGAATCAGGCTATCAAAAATAGTTTGGGGAAAGTATGTCAGCAAACAGGATTAAAGTGGATATAGGCCCTGCCTATGGTATTGTTTAAAATTAGATGCACTCCTTCTAAGAAAACAGGCTACTCCCCTTACGAAATACTGTATCGTAGGCCTCCTCCTATACTACGGGAGCTTCCAGGCACTCCCCCAGAGTTAGGTGAAATTGAATTACAGCGACAGCTACAGGCTTTAGATAAAATTACACAAACAATCTCAACTTAGGTAAATGAGAGATGTCCTATCATCTTATTCTCCCCAGTTCACCCTTTCTCTCCAGGTGATCACGTGTGGATCAAGGACTGGAATGTATCCCCTTTGTGGCCACGGTGGAAAGGACCTCAGACCATCATCCTGACCACCCCCATGGCTGTAAAGGTAGAAGGAATCCTAGCCTGGATCCACCACAGCTGTGTGAAGCCTGCAACCAATAAAACCTAGGAGGTAAAACTGAGCCCAGACAACCCCTGCAAAGTGACCCTGAGGAAGACGACAAACCCTGCTCCAGTAACACCAAGAAGCTGACTGGTCTACGCACAGCCAAAGCATGAGGAGAATAATTGTTGGACTCATTTTCCTTATAATTTGGACTTGTGTAGTAAAAACTTCCACTGATTTTCCCTGCATGGAGGACTGCTCTCAGTGTATACATCAGGTTACTGAGGTAGGGCAACAAGTTAAAACAATCTTTCTGTTCTATAGTTACTATTAATGCCTAGGAACTTTAAAAGGAAACTGTTTATATAATGACACTCAGTACAAGGTATGTAGCCCAGGAAACGACCAACCAGATGTGTGTTATGACCCCTCTGAGCCTCCCACGGCCACAGTTTTTGAAATAAGATTAAGGACTGAAGACGGGTGAGGACTCATAAATGATACAAGTAAAGTATTAGCCAGAACACAAGAAAAAGCGGTGTCCAAACGCATAATCTTGAAATTTGATGCCTGCACCATCATTAATAGCAGTAAGTTAGGAAGGGGATGTGGCTCTTTTAGTTGGGAAGAAGGCTATATGACCGAAAATAAGTACATTTGTCATGAATTAGGACTGTGGAAATGAATGTGGATACTGGTCTTGTGTCATTTAGGCCACTTGGATAAAAAATGAAAAGGATCTAGTCCACCTTCAGAAAGGAAAAAATGGCCCTTCCTGTACTAAGGGACAATGTAACCCCTTAGAGCTAGTAATAACCAATCCCCTTGATACTCGCTGGAAAAAAAGGGGAGCATGTGACCCTAGGAATCGATGGGGCCAGACTGGATCCTTGAGTACATATCTTGGTTCGAGGAGAAGTTTACAAACACTCTCCTGAGCCAGTGTTTCAAACTTTCTATGATGAACTAGATGTACGAGTACAAGAAATTCCAGGAAAAACAAGAAATTTGTTTTTGCAATTAGCCAAGCATGTAGCCCAGTGTCTCAATGTCACTTCATGTTATGTATGTGGAGGAACTGTAATGGGAGATCAATGGCCATGGGAAGTCAGAGAATTAATACCTACAGACCCAGTTCCTGATGAATTCTTGGCTCAAAAGAATCACCCTGATAATTTCTGGGTCCTAAAAGCCTCAATTATTGGACAGTAGTGCATAGTTAGAGAAGGAAAATAATTCACTCACCCTGTAGGATGACTTAGTTTTCTGGGAGAGAAACTGTATAATGGTAACACAAAAACAGTCACTTGGGGAGTTCGAATCAGAGAGGAATCCATTTAGCAAATTCCCAAAGTTGCAAATTGTGTGGACCCACCCGGAGTCCCACCAGGACTGGACAGCCCCCACTGGATTATACTGGATATGTGGGCATAGAGCTTATGCCAAATTACCTGACCAGTGGGCAGGCAGTTGTGTTATTGGCATTATTAAACCATCTTTCTTCCTACTGCCCAGAAAAACAGGCGAACTCCTGGGTTTCCCTGTCTATGCTTCCCATGAAAAGAGAAGCATAGCTATAGGAAATTGGAAAGATGATGAATGGCTCCCTGAGACAATTATACAATATTATGGGTCTGCTACCTGCGCACAAGATGGCTCGTGGGGATACCAGACCCCCATTTACATGATCAACCAAATCATACAGTTACAAGCTGGCTTAGAAATAATCACTAATAAAACCGGCAGAGCTTTGACTATTCTGGCCCGGCAAGAAACTCAGATGAGAAATGCTATCTATCAAAATAGATTGGCTCTCGACTACTTGCTAGCATGTGAAGGAGGGGTCTGTGGGAAATTTAACCTTACTAATTGCTGTCTACACATAGATGATCAAGGGCAACTAGTTGAAGACATAGTTAGAGATAAGACAAAACTGGCACCTGTGCCCGTGCAAGTGTGGCATGGATTTGATCCTGGGGCCATGTTTAGAAAATGGTTCCCAGTGCTAGAAGGATTTAAAACTCTTATAATAGGAGTTATAATAATAATAGGAACCTGCCTACTCCTCCCTTGTTTGCTACCTGTACTTCTTCAAATGATAAAAAGCTTCATCGCTACCTTAGTTCACCAAAATGCTTCAGCACAAGTGTACTATATGAATCACTATCGATCTGTCTTGTAAGAAGACATAGGTAGTGAAAATGAAAGTGAGAACTCCCACTAATAAAATGAGTGAGAGTCTCAAAAGGGGGGAATAAGGGAGGAGACCACCCCTCACATTGTCTTATGCACAGTTTCTGCCTCCAAAGAAAGAGGTAAAAACTAAAAGGCAGAAATGAAAGCCACAGGCAGACAGATTGGCGCCGCACCCTGGGCCTGGTAGTTAAAGGTCAACCCCTGACTTCATCAGTTATGTTATCTATAGATTACAAACATTGTATAGGATCAATCACAACCCTCTCACACGCACCCCCTTAGAGTTATGAGCCCTTAAAAGGGACAGGAATGGCTCACTCGGGGAACTCGGCTCTTGAGACAGGAGTCTTACCAGTGCCCCCGGCCAAATAAACCCCTTCCTTCTTTAACTCGGTGTCTGAATTTTGTCTGTGGCTTGTCCTGCTACACACAAACTGTACTTCAGCCAGCCAGCTCCTGCCATCCACCTTTAAAGTTGAAGGCATCTTTAGCACTACATGCAAAGTGCAGTTAGGTCTCTGTCCCTGGAGCCTTAAAACTATGACTGCCAATTCAAACCTCTGATTCCCCCTTCCCTCAGCAGCTCAAGTCCTCCCAGTGCCTAGCACACTTCGTGGTATAGACTAGGCACTTAGAACGTATGGATGCATGGATTGGATGGATGGATGGATAAGTCTCAACCCCAACACTACTACTTTCTGGGTCTGGAAAGAGCAGAGGGGCTTCCTAACAGTGTGGAAGAGTGAGACTGATTCTAAACATCCAAGTCCCACAGCAGGGACTGGGGAAGGTGGTGCCCTTGGGAGGTCCTCTCGGGGCTGGGGAAGACCTGACAGGCCTCCCAGCTCCAGACAAGCCCCACTTCCTGCCCAGGGAGGTGGGGGCCCTTCCTTCCGCCAGGGAAGCGCGGGAACTCTGAGCAGGGGGGCCGCTCTGTCTTACCCGCCCCCCCCACCCCATCTCGGGAGCCGAATGGCGGTGGACTTTTCTCTACCAGACCAGCAGCCCTCACGCCCGCACACACTGTGTTTGCGGAGAGGCCAGGGCAGACCTCCCCGCTTTGCCAGAGCCACTGGCGCCCCCTCATTCCCGCTCCAGCAGCCGCCCCCTCGCTTCACCCCTGGTGCCTCATCATCAGGCCAGGAAGCCAGGGCCCGGGAATTTCTTTCTCCGGTGGCGCCTGGTCAGCTGATTCCACCATCAGGTAACCTTGACTAACGGACTCTGGGAGGGCGGGGGCTGCTCCAGTGAGGTTGAGAGCGGACCGCAGCCCCCTGGAAATGCCCGGGTCTAAATGCTGGCAGTCTCCTCCTCCCTCTCCCAGAATCCTTCCCTGGAAAAAAAAACAGCGCCAACCGCCAGTTTAACTGACAGTGGGAGTTATTTCATTTGTTTAACTTAAGGTGGTAGGATCTTGGGAGCCAGTGGGATTCAGGTCATTGCCATGTTTTCCACTGTTAAGCGAATAGCCTTATACACAGCTGCGGGCTGTGGCAAAAGACATTTTAAAACTATTGAAATCTACTACACATACAGAAAATTGTACCTATTATAATATAAAGCTTAATAAGTTTTCATCAACTGTAGACCTCACATAACCAGCACCCAGATAAGGAAATAACCAGATAACTTCTTCAAGTGCAGGGGTATTTTATTTCATTTTGATGAATCGTCTAGGTGCCTAACTAAAAGGGCTGTCATAATTTACATGCTCAGGAAAACTCCCTACAGCTTCAACATCAATAGATGCTTATCTTAATTTTTGCCAATCTGATGGGGAAAAAATCGGTTGCCTAGATTGCATTGGTAGTCAGCTTACTGGTAGCTTTGAGCTAATGAGTAGTCTAGAATAAGTAAGTTTCTGACATTGACTTGAAGAGGCAAAAACAAAAAGACAAAACAAAACAAAAAAAATAGATTAGAGAATGCACTAATAACCAGAGAAGAAATTGAATACAGTCGTCCCTTGGTAACCTCAGGATATTGGTTCCAGGACCCCAGAGATACCAAAATTCACCGATGCTCAAGTCCCTAATATAATATGGCATAGTATTTGCTAATAACCTATGCACATCCTTCCATAGACTTTAAATCATTTCTAGATTACTATAATACCTAATACAACATAAATGCTTTGTAAATACCTGTTATAAAGTATTTATAAATTTTTGTTTTTTATTGTTTTACTTTTTCCAAATATTTTTGATGCACAATCGGTTAAATCCAAGGATCCAGAACCCGAGGATACAGAGGACTGACCATAGTTTGAGCTCTGTCCTCAATTCCATGCCTATCCCATGCACCAGGTGCAGCTGGTTTGATTGTTGCAGGCTTTCAAGTTTTCAAAAGACAGAGCTCATGACAAGTAAACTGTTCTATAGAATAGAAAGAAATGGAAAGTGTCCCAATTCATGGTAAAATTGAACTCATTTCTGAAGAGTTATTTTACAAATCATAAGCACTAGCCTGTCCAAAACAACAATATGTCAAGTTACTAGACTATCCTATACCATGTCGAAAAAAAATTTTAAAACATAAGACCTGTAATCATAGCACTTTGGGAGGCCAAGGCCGGTGGAGTGCTTGAGCACAGGAATTCTGGACCTAGTTGGGCAACATAGGGAGACCCCAGTCTCTACAAAAAATTAGCCACTTGTGTTGGTGCACATGTGTTGTCCTAGCTATCTAAGAGGCTGAGGTGAGAGGATTTCTTGAGCCT